TCGAGGTCTCAAATCACATCAAACAATATCAAAACCACGAATCATATCCCAATTCAAGCGAGGTCATAAATGAACCTTGAAATTTTAAATTTGAACCTTGAAATTTTAAATGAACCTTGAAATTTTAAATTTCTACAAACGGCGCCGGAACCTGTCAAATCAAGTCCGATTGACCACAAATTTTGGACACAAGTCATAAATGACATAACAGACCTATTAAAATTTTCAGAATCGGATTCCGACCCCGACATCTAAAAGTCAACCCCCCGGTCAACTTTCTGCATTTAAAGTCTAATTTCACTACGGACCTCCAAATAACTTTCCGGACACGCTCCTAAGTCCAAAATTACCATACGGAGCTATTAGAATCACCAGAATTTAAATCCGGGGTCGTTTACACATAAGTCGACATCCTGTCAACTTTTCCAATTTAAGTTTTTAATTATGAGATTAAGTGTCTCATTTCACTCCAAAATCCTTTCGGACCCGAACCAACAAACCCGATAAGTCATAAATCAATTGTAAGGCATAAATTGAGCAGTAAATAGGGGAACGAGGTTGTAATATTCAAAACGACTGATCTGGTCGTTACAGTCGAACCTCTGACCTCCTCGATAAAATAAGAAGTATAAACCATAAATCATTGGGACAGATGATGATTTGCAATGGAAAAAGCAACAACCATTTTATTTTACATCTTTTAAATGCTCAATTCAGAAAAATTCCATCCTTGAATTTGTAATTTTTCTTTGTGCCGGTTTGTTGCTGTTGTACTCGGCATTTCATTTTCGTCATCTCCCCAAACTCCTTAGGGTCATCGGTCATTAATTAATTATGACATTACTTACTAAAAGTTTTGTGTATGCCCTTGGTGCTAACAATAAAGATATGAATAAATCAGATTATCAAAAGTATATGAAAATATAATATTGAACGTTTTTCTACCTTGTCTCTTCCACAGGCATAACCGTACCTATACAAGGAGAAAATTACATTATTATGGTATCAAGAGCTTAAAGATCTTTGCCTCTTCACTGTCAGAATAGCAAATTAGTGAAAGTACTTTCTGGATAAAATTACAGAAAAATACACTCCATAAGTTGGCCTTGCAGTATTTTAGCCCACTTATAAGTTTGCAAATGTATAGCCAAATATCAATAAGCTTAGATCTGATTTTTTTTTTTCGTTTAGTGAAACATCCATGAGTTTTCATTCTCCTTTTTCCCCAAGTTTCTACAAACCTATCATAGCTACAAAAATACAAAAACATACGCGAGAAATCTAAAATTCCATCTCCATTAATGCTAATCTTGTTAAATTTCGAATATGATTTTGTGAGAAATTTAGAGTGGATATTATTTGAACTTATTAGAAATAGTTTAAGTAGGCTGTATACAAAGTTTGAAGTTGTTTGATGGAGATTTGGACAAGTTAATATTAGAAGGAGGAAGTATTATTACTCAGTTACATCAATAATACGGACTGTTTTGAGTGTGTACCAAACATTGGCAACCCCTACTCACCCTTGTCGAATTCCAAAAGAGTATAATAAAAAAATTCATAAATGTAATCTCTTTTCATTTAAATATCAGAATTTTCAACATGTCAGGAACATAGGTCAACATTATTTTTACATCATAGAAAGAATTTTGTCTAATAGGTACTCCTCCAGAATTCCCTTTCCTTAATACTTTCAGCATCTTTTCTTGCTGACCATCTCCTTTTTATAATTAGAGGCAAAGAATCAAGATTTAATAGTTACAAATAAATTAATTAGAAATGCACTCTGGTGGTAGAATGTTGTATTTATTAGTATCTTGACAATATGAGTAGAACATGTGCTTTCTATTTGTCCAATCTAGCCCTGTCATCTGCTGTTGTGATAACTTCATAAATTCTTCTCCATCAACAGGATCCAAACTTGAAGTACTTCAATCACATGTAGAAGTTGCTGAAGTATTTTGTTGCCTTACACATCCTTCTAATTCTACGTCTTTCATTGATGTTACAAATGGTGCATATTGGTAGTTTACAGGGTATTTTCCTCCATGAGTTTCCCATGCTGATCCGTCCCATATTGTTTCTATAATTGACATTGGCTTTGATGGGTAAACAGAAGAGATAGCAGTGTTATGAACTACATCTCTTATTGACACATTGTCCACAAGAAATCTGCATTATATTTACAACAAACTGTGAAACTTTTTACCACAAAAAAGATACTAATAAATATAGAAACTAAGATATATTTTTCCAATAGTTAGGGGCAGAGGGGTAGTTAAGATTGATATTTGTGAGTTTTGAACTTGTTATCTAAGCTATAACTGGATCCCATCAGAAGTTCCATTTTGATAAAAAGATTCAACATTTGTAGCTAAAAATATGCGTTGAATTAACCTCATGAAAAAACTATTGAATAATAAGGATTTTTTACAGATGGTAATTAGGGTAATAGGTGAAAAATCCTCTTGTTGTACCTCAAGGGGAGTTGAATTTTTGGACCTAACATAAAATTTAAAAATAAATTCTTGTTTAGTGGGTGGCCGATTAAAGCTAAAGTAAAGAATAGTAGTCACTTTGTTTATTTTATATGCCACCTTTTCTTTTTAGTTTGTTCCAACAAAAGAATAATATAAAGCTGCTTTATATTTTGCAATTCTTTAAATGTCACGACCCGAAATCTCACCAGTCGTGATGACGTCTATCTCAATACTAGGCAAGCCGACAACATCAATAACCCACAATTTCTTTTAAATACAAAAAACATAATAACTAAGTTTAAGATATAATCCCACAAATACTGGATATAAATATACTCCCAAACCCCGGTGTCACTGAGTACATGAGCATATATATTACAAGTTTGGACAATATGATCTATAATAGTCTGAGACCAAATACAGTAAACAAGGAGATAGGGAAGGAGAGACAAGGTCTACGAAATATGGCAGATACCTCTGAATCTCCGAAAAATCAACTGTGCGAAAGAATCAATACCCACTATGTTCGGGATCACCTGGATCTAACACAAAGTGCAGGATGTAGTATGAGTACAACCAACTCAGTAAGTAACAATAATAAATAAGAACTGAAAGTAGTGACGAGCTTCACAGCTAAGTCCAAATACAATAATTTTTAACATAAAGGGGTAGGCATGATCTCAAGTTCAACATTTAAAATTTCACAGTAATTTCATATCAACTTCGACTGAAACAAAAGATAATGTCTTTCAAAAATTTCCAAAACAGGTATATGACAGCTGAAATGCAGCAATAATGAAATCAATGCATCCTCTCATAGTAACAGTCACTCAGTCTTCCTATTCACTCCAACCTCACAGTCACTCATTCCTCACAGTAACTCATTCCTCTCAATCACTCAGCACTCGGCACTCGCACTCAGTAGGTACCTGCGCTCATTGGGAGTGTGTACAGACTCCGGAGGGGCTCCTTCAGCCCAAGCGCTATAACAAGCCAATCATGGCATAAATCAATGAAACATGTTGCGACATGCAGCTCGATCCCATAAATATCCTCACAATTAGGCCCTAGGCCTCACTCAGTCATCAACCTCTCCAGTCCCTCGGGCTCTCAGAAACCATGATAAGCAGGCCAATAACAATGATATGATGCATCAATAATGAATAACAGAGACTGAGATCTAATATGCGAGTAAAAATTGTGACTGAATATGAAATAATAATTTAGAAGATAATTCAACATGTACACGATCTCTATGGATCCCAATAATGTCAAAACATAGTTTAAACATGATTTATAGATTAATTTCTCTAAATACATGGAAAAATGCACGGATGTCAACAGATTATTCAACCACATAGTTTCATGGAATTGACCAAGTCACAATTCCAACGGTGCATGCCCACACGCCCGTCACCTAGCATATGCGTCACCTCATAACTAGTCACATAACAAATAATCTGGGATTTCATACCTTCAGGACCAAATTTAGAACTGTTACTTACCTCAAACCGTGTAATTCTTTATTCTGTAATGCCTTTGCCTCTCGAATCAGCCTCCAAACGCCTCGAATCTAGCCACAAATAATCCAATTCAGTCAATAAAAATTATAGGAATTAATTCCATATGAAAATGTAAATTTTCCATCAAATCCAAAATTTCACTCAAAAATTGCCTGTGGGGCCTACATCTCGAAACCCGACAAAAGTTATAAAATATGAACGCCATTTCAACCACGAGTCCAACCATATCAAAATTATTAAATTCTGACATCAATTCGACCCTCAAATCTTTAATTTAAACCAAGAGGGTTTTCTAAATCTTCCAACTTAAATCACCAATTAAATGTTAAAAAGAACCATGGATTCGGGTAATTTTACCAAAATTGAGTTAAGAACACTTACCCCAATATTTTCCTTGAAAAATCTCCTGAAACTCGTCTCACCCGAGCTCTTAAAATCCAAAAATAGGTAAAAATAGCCAACCCCCTAATTTATATGTTCTATCCAGGGCTTTTCGTACCTCCAGCTAACTTAGCCATTTCTGCGGTCGAGCAGTCGCTTCTGCGACCTCGGCCTCAAAACATGCCTGGTCTCTTCTTCAGACCATCTGCTAGCTTTTGTGACCTCAACCTCAACCCATGCCTGGTCGCTTCTTCAGACCATCTGCTCGCTTCTGCGACCTCGGCCTCAACCCATGCCTGGTCGCGACCTCGGACCATCTGCTCGCTTCTGCGACCTCGGCCTCAACCCATGCCTGGTCACTTTTTCGAACCATCTGCTCGATTCTGTGACCTCGGCCTCAACCCATGTCTGATCGCAACTGTCACGACCCAAAATACATTAAAGGTCGTGATAGCGCCAGACACCGCTGTCAGGCAAGCCAAAAATAAATACTAACTTGATTCTCATTTTAATATTTTTGAAATCATATTCCCTTCAATTAAATGGTGAAAGATGAAATTTATAAAATAAATAATAATATTTTTAACAATTCAAATACATAACAACCCATAATCATCCTAAAACTCGGTGTCACAAGTGCATAAACATTTACTAGGAATATAAAATAAAATACAACAATTGTCCGGAATACAAACTGGACAGGAAAAATGCAAGTACCCTGAAGGAGACTCTACCGGCTGCGGATCATAGTATAGAGTGCAGCTCACCTAAGTCCCCGCCATAACCGCGCCTCTGCGCCCACAAGGCCACTAGAAATATATGCACCTGCACAAAAACGTGCAGCAAGTGTAGCATGAGTACGTAAATCAACGCGTACCTAGTAAGTATCCCGCCTAACCCCGAAGAATTAGTGACGAGGGGTCGACTTCGACACTTACTAAGGGCCAACAATATGATAATATGAAATTCTAATCAAGCATGATATAAATAACAATAAAACTCAGAACAAGAAATAACTTAACAAATTCATCACCATATTTAAGAATCCAAATCACTTCCTTCATTTAAAATAAATAATCTTTCAACTAATGAATTTATACCAATTATAAAAGGGAATTCCACCGAGGATGTTCGGCCCGATCCAATATAAATATAAACTGTGCACTGCCGAGGGTCGAACGGTATGAACCATAGATGCATCTATTACCCCGCTCGCGGATCATACATGCGACGCGGTCAAATATAAAGTATCAATAAATCAGAACTCTTTCTTGATTCTTTTCAAAATAAAGACAATTAAACTTGAAGCTTTTAAATCCTTAAAATCCTCGACTTAGTTTTATTTGATATAATTAACAAATATAATCAAATAACGGTGTCCACAAAGCATGGTGTAAACCTAAAACTACCCGGACATAAACAGGGATAGTATCTATGTACGAACTCTCATCACTTCGTGCGTACGTGGCCCCCACAAATAACAACACATATTAATTAAGTTCACTTATGGGGTAAATTCCCTCTTACAAAGTTAGAAAGGAGACTTACCTCGCTCCAAAGTTCCATAATCGGCTCCAAATCCCTCTAACACCTCAAATCGATGCCCGTCTCTTCAAACTAGTCAATTAAGATGCAACCCAATCAAAATGTACTCTAATACTCATAATTAATCAATTTATAACAATTTTCAACTCCGCTCGAAAAGTCGATAAAATCACCCTCGGGCCCCCATACCCGGATTTCGAAAATTTTCAAAGATAAACCTTACCCATATCACCACAAACTCAAATATATAATTTATTCCAAGTTTCACGTCCAATTTCGTGGTCAAAATCCAAAAATATCCATTTTTAGGTTTCCTACCAAAATCCCAAATTTCTAAAACATTTCAAGCTTAAATCTTTGTACAAACCATGTATTTAACTTGCAATGGATGAAAATAACTTACCTTGGCATAGATGATGAAACTCTCTTCCAAGAGCTCCAAAAATCACCCATCCAAAAGAAAATGGAGGAAAATGGCCAAATCTCGTCTTGAAATGACACTGTCCAACCCGACTTCTCGCTTCTGCGATCCAACAGCCGCTCCTGTGAGCTATTCCCAGTTTAGAATCCCAAACAGACATCGATAACATTGAAATACACTTTAACCCAAATTTATGAAATTCTTTCAAAATGCCAACTTCCACAATAGGCGCCGAAACGTTTCTGGGTCATCCAAAACCCGATCCGGACACACGTCCATGTCCAAGATCATCATACAAACCTGTTAAAACCTTCAAATCCTGATTCTGAGGTCGTTTACTACAAAAATGGACACTTTAGTCAATTTCTCCAACTTAATAGTCCCGAAATTGGAATTTGTTTTTCTTTCAAAATCAACTCCGAACTTTCCAAAATTAAATTTCGACCACGCATACAAGTCATAATACCTGAAGTGAAGTTTCTCAGGGTCTCAAACTGTTGAATGACGCGCTAGAGCTCAAAACGACCGGTCAGGTCATTACAGCGACCTCGGACCATCTGCTTGCTTCTACGACCTCGGCCTCAACCCATGCATGGTCGCTTCTTCAGACCATCTACTCGCTTCTGCGACCTCGGCCTCAACCCATGCCTGGTCGCGACCTCAGACCATCTGCTCGCTTCTGTGACCTCGGCCTCAACCCATGCCTGGTCGCGACCTCAGACCATCTGCTCGCTTCTGTGACCTCGGCCTCAACCCATGACTAGTCGCGACCTCGGTCTCAACCCAAACTTGCGAGCTAAATTCTACAGGTGCAATTACACCTGAAGGCTAAAAATTCCAGCATCTATTTAAGTCCATAATTTCAATGTAGCCATTTGAAACTCACCCGAGGCCCCCGGGACCTCAACCAAATATACCAAAAAGTCCTAAAATAACATACGAACTTAGTCGAAACCTCAAATCACATCAAACAATGCTAAAACCATGAATCATACTCCAATATAAGCTTACTGAAACTAAGATTTTTTAACTTCTACATTCGATGCCGAAACCCATAAAATCAAGTCCGATTGACCTTAAATTTTGCAAACAAGTCATAAATGACATAACGGACCTATTCAAATTTTCAGAATCGGATTCCTACCCCGATATCAAAAAGTCAACTCCCCGGTCAAACTTCCAAATTTAAATTTCTATTTAGCCATTTCAAACCTAATTTAACTACGGGCTTTCAAATAACTTTTTGGACACGCTCCTAAGTCCAAAATTACCATACGGAGCTATTGGAATTATCAAAATTCTATTTCGGGGTCGTTTACGCATAAGTCAACATCCAGTCAATATTTTTAACTTAAGTTTTCATATTGGAGACTATGTATCTTAATTCCTTTCAAAACCATACTGGACTCGAACCAATTACCCCGACAAGTCATATAACAACTTTAAAGTATAATTTGAGTAGTAAATAAGGAAATATGGTTATAATACTCAAAACAATCGGCCGAACTCTTACATTAAACTTTTAATTTTCCTTAATAATATGCTTTTATAGACATAAATATGTTATGACATATTTAAGACTATAAATTATAAGAATAATTTTGGTATGCGTCAACAGTGGCGGAGCCAGGATTTTCTTTCAGAGTGTCAGAGTATATAAAAGCAAGCAGACAAAAAAATCGAAGGGAGTCAACACATAGAATATATGCATATAACTTTTTTTTACCTACCTATACAATATATTTTATCGTGAAGGGATGTTAGTTGTCACCCCTTGCTATAAGGTGGCTTCTCTACTGTGCGCCAAGATTATTTTTTTTAAACTCTATATCTAATTAAACAATATCATATAAAATGAAACGGAGGTAATAGTTAGATTATATCAACTAAGCTTACACTATGTGATGATTATTCCAGAGGATGCTGTAGTCATGAAAATCCAATGTTGGATCAAACCAGAGGTAAAACTTCTCTTCTTTCCCTGTGTGAACACTTCCATTTCCATAAAGACTAGTTTGTAGAACATAATCCCTTCTTTTATCATGCCCAAGCAACTCAAAGTCAATTCCATCATGGTTGTGTGGGAACACATCTGAATTAGACAACTGTAAATTGAAAAAGAAAAAAAAACATCTTGCCTTAGCCCTGATGATCAACGAAAAAGAAAATTCTTGATTTCTATATCGTACTCTACATAATGCATTTAGAGTTTAGTACTAGTACTGTATTAGTTATATGGAGATTAATTATAAGATGTGCATGAAAACTTACATAAAAGGCAATTACAACTCTAGATGTAAAATGAGCAGGCAATTTTAGAGCAGCATTGAAGAAACCATAGTAGTATTTGTCCTTAGAGATCAGCCCAGAACCTACGGACAAAAAGGAAATTGTTGTAAATACTTCAACAACTATATATAAACTTAAGGAAAAACATTTTTTGTATGATGAAGTTGTAGTGTACCTGAGGATTTATCTAAGATAAGATCAGCATTGGACCCATTTTTGTCATATGAACATTAGCACATCCAAAGAATACATTATAACCCTGGTTAAGCGATAATCAGCTGAAATGATCGGTTAATTTCTCGACTTCTGGAGGCTTATAGACTTGACCTCGACATGAATCGACAACTATCATGCAGAAAATTAAGAATTGTGATAATAGGAAGGTTTTATCACGTAGAAAGAATTCCATTTTTTTTGTTTAATTATGGAAATGTGGGGCAATATATGGGCTATTTATGGATTGAAAGATATTAAAGAAAACATTAAAACCTTGTGCTTAGTTGTTGCAAGCTGGATGTATCTTCCAAAAAAATCCAATTAAATAGTTAATATTAAGATACAATTGAGTAGGAATTGTGGACAATGATTAGAAAGTTCATGTGCGATATTGACATATTTAGAAAAGAATCCCCGTGGTCCAAATCAGTTCAAGTGGGATCCAAGCTTAATTACAGAAATGTTAGGTGATGTTAGGCCAAATTGCTATACTTTTAGCACATTAATCGCCCTATAATTTGTTGGTTTAGTAAGTTATTGTGCGACAATTATGCTAAATTGTATTGTTTTATGTGTTGGAACATCGAAATTAATCAGCATTAGCTCTATTTGATTTATAATAATATGTAACAGTAGTAAACTTGAATATACATCAAACAACGACTACAACACACGATTAAACCTGACAAGTATTAAAGAAATTTTGATTCTTCACTTAAAATTGATAGATAAGAGAATTAAACAACTCCTAAACTATAGAGAGTTAGTGTTTTGTAAGAAAAGGATAAATACTAGAGACTCTTGGCCATAATATTCAGCAAATTACTAACACTTCACAGTATGTCACGACCCAAAATTTCACCTATCGTGATGGCGCCTATCTCAATACTAGGTAAGCCAACAATCTTAATAAACCACCATATCTTCTAAATTTGAAAACATAATATCTAAATTCAGCGGAAGAAATCTCACAAATACTGATATAAACACTCCCAAAACCAGATGTCACTGAGTACATGAGAATCTAAATGAATACAAAGTCTTACTGATAAAAAAACTGTCTAACAATATATAACAGTACAATAACTGAAGGGAAGAGAGACAAGGTCAGCGGACGCCAAGCAGCTATCTTGATAGTCTCCAACTAATAACACACTGAGGTCTAACAGTCGCCGTGTCCGAAAGCACCTGGATATGCACTACTCCACAATATATTTCATCATTCTCCTTCACTAGTAGTGATGCCTTAAGTCCTAGACATCTCTGCGGCACCCGGATGAATGGAATATCGCAAACTATTGGCCTCCTCTATAATCAACTCACGCAATCCATCCGCATTAGGCACACAAATCCGACCCTGCATCCTCAACACCTCTATCATCTACAATAGTAACCTACTTGGCATCACTGTCCTACAACATCTCCTTAAGGACAAGCAAGAGAGAATCATCATACTGACGCGCCTTTGTCACAACCCCAATTTCACTCCTTAGGATGTCGTGATGGTACCTAGTCTCTACGACTAGGTAAGTCTAACATTTAATACTAACTTGACAGAAATAATTAATAGAAATACTAAAGCAAGAATGATAAACTTATATAAACTTCCCAAAATAGGATCTCAACAACACACTTCCCAAAACTGGTGGAACTGAGTCATAAGCTTTACAGAACAAACTAGATTGTCTATTACAACACTGTCTAAAAGAGAAATACAATAGAAAATAAAGATTAGGGAAGGTGACTCCGAGGCCTGTGGACGCCGAGCAGGTATACCTTGAAGTCTTCGGATAATAGCTGCAATCAAACACTAACATCCAGCATGAGCAAACGTACCTAGATCTGCACAAAAAGATGTACAAAAGCATAGTATGAGTACACTATAATGGTACCCAATAAGAATCAAGCCTAACCTCTGTAGAGTAGTGACGAGGCCAGGTTAAGACACCTACTAGGACATGATTAAAAGAATGAAAACATAACTACGAGAAGTAATGGAAGGCGGATAAATAAATGATTTGAAACAAGTTAATAACATAGACTGATGCCGGAATTCTAAGCATAGAGATAACATAAAGGAAGCAATTAAAGAGAACAACCATAGTCAAATACGGACCAAACTGATAAGACAAGGAAGAATAAAAGCAACAGGAAGTGTTCCACCAATAACTCTTTACAACATGGATAAACAACAAGAATCACAAACAAGGTACCGCCTCATAACAAGAATCACAACCGAGGTACCGCCTCGTATACAATAAGAATCACAATCGAGGTACCACCTCGTACTCACACTTCTTAATTTCAATCACAATCTTTCCTTATACTTCCGCGTGAGCCTTACATTTAAATAGTTTTGAAAACATTTTTCCCGAAATAGCTACACGCACTTTAGCCCACCTTATGATGCCGTGTGGCTTCAAGTAATTCCCTTACTAGCAACATACACATAAGTCTCACCTTATGTCGCTGCATGGACATTAATCAATATCCTTGTACCGCCGCATGCGCATCGATATCATATCACAATAACAACTCGCACCACAAGTGCCCATATGCCACAACTTGCCAATAATCAACAATATCAATGTTTCCACAACAATAGCCCAAGGCTCAACCACAATGTATATAAGAATATCAGCAATAACAATGAACGTAAATTTCTCAACAAGGAAGATATCTCAACAATTAACAACTTCCCCTCAATGTGATAACGAATTTCACAACTTCAACACCAATAACTCAACAACGAGAATAATGTGTAACCACAATATCAAATAAGAATAACTTACAATGAGAGAGATAACATGCAATGATGACTTTAAATAAGGATAAGTCAACAATGAAAAAGATAACATGTAACAATGACTTCAAATAAGGATAAGTCAACAATGGAGGAGATAACATGTAATAATAAAAGAGACAACAAATTCAACTAAAGAATAAGAGCAAAGTAAGATGTAAAACAAGTGCTAACAAAGTCAAATAAGGCATGTAAAGGTTGACTAACACTAGTAAGAGTATATTGGCCATGATAATTTAAATCATGATATGACAATTTAGTTAAGGCATGAAAAGAGTGTAAGTGGCCTAAACCGGTCAAATACCACATATAACCTGTGTACCCACTTGTCACCTTGCGTACACGGCTTTTACATAGCACAAATGACACAATTAATCCCAAATCCTAAGGAGTAGTTCCTCCCCCCCTCCCCCCACACAAAATTAGGCAGGATACTTACCTCAACTAGGCTAACTCAACCATTGGAAATAGCTTTTCCCCTAAAATTTGCCTCCACACAGCTCAAATCTAACCAAAATTGACTTAATATCATTAAACAATGCAAGGGGAAAATATTACAATAGATAAGGCTATGATCTTTACACTTTTCTCAAAAAGTCAACAAAAGTCAACACGGGGCTCGCCCGGTCATAACCCGGGTCCAAAGGTAGATTCTGACTACCCATAACCCCACGAATTCATATATATGATTAGTTTCAAAATCTGAGTCCAAATTGACTCTCAAAACTCAAATTCTTATTTTTCAAAAGCTTGACAAAATTTCCTAATTTTTCCTCTTTGATTCATATGAGTTTGATGCTAAATCTTATATATATTGATGAAATATAGTTGAAAATCGATTATAATCACTTACCAAATGTTTGTAGATGAATATTCCCTCTCCAAATCGCTTCCTACCGAGCCTAGGGTTCTAAAATATTATAGAATGATATGAAATCCCGATTTTCTAACATTTTGTTCAACTGCAGATATTGAGAACCCAATGTCGCAATTGCGAAGGATTCCTTGCAAATGTGGCAACAACCCAGCCTACAGGGAATTCACAAATGCGACAAATGGGTTCGCAAATGCAACAAATGGGTTGGCAAATGCGAACCCTGTCCCTTCACAAATAAGACAATTTTGTCGCAAATGCGAACTACCCAGCTCAGGCCTAATCTTCATAATTGCGAACAAGGTGTTGCAATTGCGACACCTGATATCCCCTTTTATGTTCACAAATATGAGGCCGGTGCTCGCAATTGCGACATCAGAGCAGCAGCACACCAGATTTTCCGTGATCAGTCCAAAACTCTCTGAAACATGTCTGAAACTCATCCGAGCCCTCGGGGCTCCAAACCAAACATCCCCGCACGTCTAAAAACATCATAAGAACTCGCTCGCGTGATCGAAACACAAAAATAACATCTAGAACTATGAATCAAACACTAAAACGCATGATTTCCAATGTAAATTTCAAGAACTTCTAGATTTGCAACTAAGCGTTCGAATCCTATCAAATCAACTCCAAACGATACCAAATTTTGCACACAAGTTATAAATAGTATAACGAACCTATTTCAAGTCCAAAAACCAAATTACGATCTCGATAGCCAAAAGCCAACCTACGGTCAAATTCTAAACTTCTAATTGCCATATTTCGGCAAAACAACACAAATCATCCTCCGGACTTCCAAATTCGATTTCGGGTATACGCCCAAGTCCAAAATCACGATACAAAGCTATCGGAGCCACCAAAATATCATTTCAGGGTCGTCTTCACAAATGTCAGAGTTTGGTCAATATTTCTAACTTAAGCTTCTAAGTCAAGAATCAAAGGGTCCAAATCAACCCGAAAAATTTTCGGAACGAAACTAATCAACCCCGTAAGTCATAAAACCATAAACACACATGTGTGAAGCATCAAAAGGGGAAACATGGCACAATTACACAAAATAACCTATCGGGTCGTCACATTCTCCCCTTCGTAAAACAAATGATCATCCTCAAACATGCATAAGGACATACCTGAAGTGATGCATAGATGACGATAATGACATCGCATGTTGTGCTCGCTCTCCCAGGTCGCCCCCTCGACTGAATGACCCATCCATTGAACCTTCACTAAAGAAATGTTCTTTGATCTCAACTTCTGGACATGTCTATCCAAGATAGCAACCGACTCCTCAATATAAGTCAAACCCTTGTCCAATTGGACTTTGCTAAAAAAACATAAGAGGGATCACCATATTTCTTCCGGAGCATATAAAGATGGAACACCGGATGAACCGCAGATAAACTAGTTGGCAATGCAAGTGTGTAGGCCACCTCACCAATCCTCTCAAGGATCTCAAAAGGTTCGATATACCTAGGGCTCAACTTGCCCTTTTTTCCGAACCTCATCAAACCCTTCATGGGAGAAACCCGG